CCATAAGGTAATTATAACAATATTGCAATCCAACAATGTGAGTTTGTGAAATATTTGAAAATAGATTTAGACTGCAATAATTACCAGAGAAACCATATAAGCAGTTTATAACTCACTCTAAAAATCTGAAAAATGTACTAATGGCTTGAACGAATTTTCAATTATGTTTGAAAAATAAGTTTATATTGTACAAAGTTATGCTTAAACTAGCCTGAACGTACCTCTAGTATTTCCAATATGGAAATACTATAAAAGTATAAATCAAAAGCAGTAAACAATATATAATAACGTCAAAAACTTTTGGCTTTTTATCACATCGTTTTTACAGCACTATAGTGTACTCTTTCACACAAAGGGAAAATTGTCTTACAACTTCGTACATCCTCTACGTTATCATTAATTTCTCCATCATATGTCCGTCACTTTATAATCTAGTACATTATATCATTTCTATAGTATACTCTTTCACACAAAGGGAAATGATATCAAAATTGTCTTACAACTTCTTACATCCTCTACGTAATCATTAATTTCTTTATCACCTGTTCTTTACTGTATAATCTACTACAATATACCATTTCTACAGTGTCTCTTTCACATCACTTTTTCTTTTTGGCAGTGGTAAAAATCAAATATGGACGAAAGTGAAAAATTTTGCGTCATTTGCCAATATTCAATTGTGGACTTGGTCAAACTGAGTTGTAGACACGTTTTTTGCAAGAAATGTATCAAGGATTACGTTAACTATGCAAATACCAGAAACACCACAAAACGTTGTCCCTTATGTAGAAAGAAATTTATGGAAACTGTAGTAAATATTTTAGTTTTTATATAATATTATTAAGTGTTTATATTACTTTTATAAAGGCAGGTTACATTACAATAGAAAAACTCGACGGTACGTCTTCTGAATCGGATACCGATATTGAGGAATGTTAAACAAAAGCTAATTTGACAATAATTAATTGGAACATCACTGGAATTAAAAATAATACTCACAATAATATAGAAATTAAAACATAAATAAATGGACCAATAGTATAATGTTAAAAGTGAAAATATATAAGTTATTGAAGATGACACAGAGACTAAAATGGCCAATAATTGTCTGCCGGAATGATGAAAATAAAGCAAACAGTGAAGAGATAAATTTTGAAATGGAATTAAAAATTAATAAAGACAGAAATAATCATAATTATTAAAATCATGATGTCGTATGTTCTAATTATAAGTCAGGTTTTAAAGTTGTGAATTTTTACATAAAAATTACTAACAAAAACTAAAAATCGCTGGAAAATTGTGAACTAAAAACAATCCTTCTTATGTACCAGACCGTTTTCATCCAGGAACTTTATCGGGAATACTTCAGAATAGGGTTCCTATGTTGGTTTCCTACTAAAAAATTTTGTTTTTTTTTCGTTAGCCTACGTTCAGGTCTCGCTTATGTTTATTTGTTTTTTTGTTTTTTAAAAAAGCCCACTTACTAGATAATATTTTT